TCCTATGATTGTTGAGAATTTGAACTACCGAAAGACATTTAAGAAAAAAATGAAGAAATTCAAAATGACAAAAATAAATGGTTTTATTCAGAAAAGAAAAAACTAAGCGATTAGATGTTTTGTAGAAAAAAATAAAAATACCAAAATTTCTCAAGTAAAATTGACCGAAAGTGTTAAAAAATATATTGGAAAATGAATAAAACAAACCCTCATATTTATAGGTTTTAGCAGGGGTATTTTCGTTAGATTTTGAAAAAAATGTAACAATAGGGAAACTTTTGTATTTATCTGTAGTACATGGAGTATATGATACAAAGTCCATAGTATAAGGGTATTTTTGTATTTAACCCTTAAATGTATTCAGAAATTTAATATTAGTACAGATTAAGAAATAAAATATTATATACAATATTTTGAATTAATATATTCTTGTGATTAGATTGACAAATAATATAGAAAAAAACAGAAAAAAAGATAACTTGAAAATTGAATTACAAAAATATTATAAAACATTAAATAAGATATGTACAAGTACATACCATGCCAAAATTTAGATTACAAATTTCGTCAATTAATTCCTAGATAGCGTAGATTATTTTCCATAGATTTCTCACCGTGGCAGTTCATTTCACACGTGCAGGCATGTACGTGCGGATAAATAATAAATAAATAGTATAAAATAGAAAACGCCGTCGTCTATGTAAAATTAGGGTTTTGTTTCTGGATTTCCGGTTTGCAACAAAAACAACAGCAAAACCCTCCGAATTGAAATTATCCGATCCATCAATCGGAAAATCTCTTTCAAATTTCTGTTGATTTGAGAAGAAATGGCGAAGGAGAGGCCGGAATTTCAGCTGTATAACAGTATGACGAAGCAGAAAGAGATTTTCAAGCCCATAGTTGAGGGCAAAGTCGGAATGTATATTTGCGGTGTCACTTCTTACGACCTCAGCCATATCGGCCACGCGCGTGCCTACGTGGCGTTCGATGTTCTCTACAGGTTTTCAACTTAAATCATTTTGATTGAAATTTTTATTGTTTATTTATGCGGAGATTGAAGAACAGTATTCATGATCCTGTTTGGTATTCAGGGGAGTTTAGGGTTTCTGGAGACGTATGGTTAATAATGTTGATTGATTTGCTAATTAGTTAATTAATTATTTGGACAGTGTAGATATAAATTGAGTTATTTTTTGGTAAATTTCACGATCCTGTAATTGGGATGATTGTTCTATGTAAATGAGGTTGGGAGCATCTTAGATTTGCAAAACATTTATTCTAAAATTCAATTTTTATAGGCTGGTGAAGACTTATTATTGTAATTTTGAATTATATTAACTGTCTACAAAGACTAACTTTTATAGGCTGGTGAAGACTTATTTTTGTAATTTTTATATGAAAGAAAGCTAATTGCGCTGGGGCATGATCATCTCTTTCAAGAGTCAACTAATTGGTGTAATGCTTCGAAAAGAAAAAAAGAAAGGATCTTTGATTTTATTTTCCTTTCTTTGACTGGCATAGAGTGGTTATAAGTTTGTTCGAGTTCATCGATTGTTGTTGCTGTAAAGTAATGTTTGTTTTTTGATATTTGATTTTTGTAGATATCTGAAATATTTGGGCTATGAGGTTGTTTATGTGCGCAATTTCACTGATGTTGATGACAAGGTGAGATGTCTTTGGCCATGCTCTTTCCAATTTATTAGAAGTCTTCGATTCTAATAGGACTATAACTACTGAGTGGGATAATAGACATTTCTTCATTTTAATTCCAAATTTTTATTGCAAAACCAAAAAAAAAAAAAGAAGAAATGTTCATCGAATGCCAGATCACTTAAGTTTTGTGATCATTAATACCGTGAATTGAAGGCGAGGGTAGGGGGAATAGGCCACTTATTGTTCAATAATGTCAATATTTGAACCCTCTTTATGACTTATTTTACTTAATTAGTCAAACTTTAGATGGAAACAGTCATATGGTATTGCAGTCTAGATCCACAGATACGTACTTGGGCATAGATTTAATTGTAAATCATACATTTGTGGCTGTTATTGCTAATACGTTTTTCAAGAAAAGGTTAATGGTGAAGATTTGGTTTCAGTTATACTGTGGTCAATGACTATGTATGTATGAGGTTATTTGGATTAACTTATGCCATTGCTCCTAAAGGATTAATAATATGTGCAGATTATCAATAGAGCAAATGAGCGTGGAGAAGATCCAAAAGCATTGAGTTGGCGTTTTTGCGAAGAGTTTCTCAGTGACATGGCTGATCTCCAGTGCCTTCTTCCTACCCACCAGCCTCGTGTTACTGATCATATTGAACAAATCAAAGACATGATAGCTCAGGTTTATTTTATTACCTTTTTTCTCTCTCATTTTAATAGATATTATCATGATTATTTCTAATCCCCAATATCTTATGTATATGCTTTTTGTATTTTAGCTCAAAGATTCTCTAATAAGTCTTCACAATTGGTATATGTGATGAATAGTGTAATATCTACCTTCTTGTTCTCTTTTCATCATGTTCATGTTGAGCAGGGATAATGTTTGTATCACCTACTTGGCAACTATATTTGAAGAGCTTTCGTTTTCTGTTTTTGGTGTTCTGTTCCTTTCCAGTATATCATTAATTATTCTCGCCTCAGTTTCTGTCTCGTTTTTGCAGATTATCAGCAATGGCTGTGGTTATGCTGTAGATGGAAATGTATTCTTCTCTGTCGACAATTTCCCGAGTTATGGCCTTCTATCCGGAAGGAAGCTTGAAAACAATAGAGCTGGTGAACGAGTTGCTGTTGATATTAGAAAGCAAAACCCTTTTGATTTTGCTTTGTGGAAGGTGATTTTTTTTTTTATTTTTTTATTTAGAAACAATTTAAATTAAAAAAATTAAATTTAAATTAAATTACAATTGTTGCAGGCTGCAAAGCCAGGAGAGCCATTTTGGGACAGCCCGTGGGGTCCAGGAAGGCCAGGGTGGCACATAGAGTGCAGTGCCATGAGTGCTCATTATTTGACGCATGCATTTGATATTCATGGTGGAGGGATGGATTTAATCTTTCCCCATCACGAAAACGAGATTGCTCAGAGCTGTGCTGCTTGCCCGGAGAGCAAAGTTAATTACTGGATACATAACGGTTTTGTTACTGCTAATGACGAGAAAATGTCTAAATCCGTTGGTAACTTCTTCACAATTCGCGAGGTATATAAGATGAGAGTGGTTAAATACTTTCGTACCTTGTGGTTAAATATTATATTAAAAATTTTATTCTTTTACAGGTTACGGAGTTGTACCATCCACTTGCATTGAGGTATTTCCTGTTGGGAACTCACTACCGTTCTCCTGTCAACTATTCGATATCGCAGATAGAAATTGCTTCAGAATCTCTTTTCTATATATATCAGGTGAATAAATGGTCAATTTTTTCTAATGAGATTTTTTTATATCGTTCTTGAATGGTTGCTTCTATCTTTGTAGTCGATTTGTTTGGGTCTTCATCATTTTTTTCCTTGTTCAACAATACATGTTTAGAAAGATGACTAGTTAATATTATCTGGTAAACATTTTGTGCTTTTGAGCGGCTTCTCTGTTTCATATCCCTCCTTTCGGCATATGAAAGTAATTACGGCGTCTAGATTATTAGTCCAATTTTTTCGGAGCTTTTACATTCTTGATTTGATGGATTCAAGGTTTAGAATTATTAGGAAATGTTTTTTGATGGGTAATTTTCGTAAATGGCAGACTTTGCAAGATTGTGCAGACGCATTGTTACCTTTGAGGGAAGAAAGTGACACAAACGGGAAAAAAGCCCGTATCAGCCCTGCTGCCCAAGAATGCATCAATAAGCTGCGTAGTGATTTTGAGACAAAGTTAGCTGATGATTTGCACACACCATCCATCCTAAATTCATCTCTTATAGAATCATTCAGATTTATCAACACTTCCCTAAACATGCTCAAGGCAAGAATTTCTCATCAACATTCTCTCTCTCTCTCTCTCTCTCTCTCTCTCTCTCTCTCACACACACACACACACACACACAAATTTAAGAAATTGTTTCTTTTGAATACTTCCAGAAGAAGCAGCAGAAGCAACAGCAATTATCCATTGTGAAGGCCCTCATCGATCTAGAGAAACAAATCAAAGACATCTTGGATGCTCTCGGATTGCTTTCCAGTTCAACTTACAACGAGGTACTTCTCAATCCATTTTTTTTTTCACAAATCACATTTCTATATATAAACGAACGCCTCAGAAAAATGTTGTAAATAATTGGTGGTGACTGTTTTATCTAGGTTCTGCAACAACTAAAACTCAAAGCCCTGAAAAGGGCTGGACTGACAGAAGAAGATGTTCTACACTCTATCGAGGAAAGAATGCTAGCCCGTAAAAACAAAGAGTTCTCAAGAGGTGACGAGATAAGGAGCGATCTTGCAGCCAAGGGAATTGCGTTAATGGATGTGGGCAGTGAAACTGTTTGGAGGCCTTGTGTGCCTGTACAACAAGAACAGCCTGCTGTACAACCTCGACAAGAGAAACCTGTTGTACAACAAGAGCAGCCTGTTGTACAACCCCAAGAGGAGAAACCTGTTGTTGTCACTAATGAACAAGCAAATCCTCCTCCGTCGTCAGCTGATAAATAGGGGCTCATCGAATCTTAGCTTGTGAACTAGTAAGTTATAGCTACAAATCACGAACTATATACGGAGTTACAATTTTGTGTTGATTTCGACAATATTGCGATGTTGGTGGGTTTTCTTGAATCTTCTATTGAACTGACTGGACCGTTGATGGAGACCCAATTAAAGGCATAGAACTGGTTTATATTCTCTTTTAAAGTTAAATGGAAATCTTAATTTGTTTTGTTTGGTTGCTGATACTTTATAGCATCAACTTCGATTGGGAAGACAATAATAAGAACAAGGGTAAATTACGCCCACCTTCCTGATGTAAGATCAAATTAAAAAAAAAAACCCTTTTGTTTGAGTAATTATAGCCATTCCTATGAAAAAAAGGGATCACTATTTCAAATCCCAACTTTTGCTTACTTGAATACCAAAAAAATAAAAATTAAATAATTAATTGTAAATTACTTTAATACCCTTAATGAAAATTAAAACCAACAAAATATTACAAATACTATTTTTCTTTCTTAAATACCAAATAATCAAAAACCTTAAAAAACCATTTCCCTCCTCACTCACAAACCCATCACCTCTTCCACCTCCTTCTTCTCCCTCCCCAAAAAACCCTTCTAAAAAATCTCAAAACTAAAGAAATTAAAACCTCACAAAACTTATAAAATTGAGTTATAAGACAATAATATGGTAGTATATATGAAAGGAGAACACATTAAGGTAAGTATCGATGTCTTTTTTGAGCTTCGAAGTCGATTTTGAATTTTATTTTTTTTGAAACCCGTCGGCAATTTTCGACACATACAGGTCGATTTTTTGGTCAATTTTCGACACCAACGTGTCGAAAAAAAAAAACAAAAAAAAAAAAAAAAACAAATTTCGACACATACCTGTCGAAATTGGGAGAATTTTCGACAGGTATGTGTCGAAATTTGTTTTTTTTTTTTCGACACGTTGGTGTCGAAAA